CACTCTTTCAACACGAGCAAGTAGTAGACTGTGATCCACAGTATCAAACGCAGCTCTTAGATCAAGAAGAATAAGAATAGAAGTTGCACCAGAGTCAGGAGCTATCAACAAATCATTGGTCACCAATGCCGTGATTTGACCAAGGCCGTCTCAGTACTGTGAAATTTACGAAAACCTGACTGAAGACGTTCAAAAAGATTATTAACTGTGAGATGATTACACAAATGAGAGGCAACAATACGCTCAAGTAATTTTGCCAAAAATGGGAGATTTGAAATAGGACGAAAGTTATTGAAGTCGTCCAGTGCACCATTTTCTTTTTTAGGTACACGGGTTACAGCAGCAATCTTTAATGCTGCTGGAACAACCCCAGTCTGTAAGGAATCATTTATAATACTGAGGACAGCAGGACACAAAGCATCAAAGCAAGATTTAAAGGGGTCATATGATGCTATTTCTATTTTTCCTTTCTCTTTGGAGTGTTTACAAGCTCTTGGTGCATAAAGAAGATCTGTAAAGTTGCAAAGACTAAAGTCTCAAATCCAAAGAGATATTCTTTATAAAAGGTAAGAGTTAACCACGCCTACCTAAAACGGCTCGTTCTAACACGTGGAGGATGAGTACTGTTTCCTGAACCAGTAGCCTACAATGCATCTGTACTCAAAGGCTGTTTCTATAAAGTTGGGCAGTTCCAACTTTGCAAGGACAGTCTGGCGCTTCTGACTCACAGCCTGTAAGTACGTTTTTTATATTTAAATAATTTGCCACTGACGATTCAAATGCGAGTTTTGAGCAGTGTAGAGTAGAGCTTGTTGTTTGTCGTTTCTCCGATCACAAATGCAGACATGGTTTTATGTTTACGCAGCGTGATACGCAACGCAACGCGTAAAAAGACAATATAAGTCATCATAATCATTAATTATGTCCCCACTGGATGCAACAAATGCCTCATTTGTAATGGGTTTTATTGGTTTTGTCTCGTCCTCCTGGGAGACGGCATCACAGTATGGTGAGGGGCGTAACATTTCCGTCACACGCTTTGAGGCATTCGGCCAATCACAATGCACTGGATAGCTGGCCAATCAGAGCACACCTCGCTTTTTTCAGACCGATGAGCTTTGTAAAAATGGACGCGTTTCAGAAAGGCGGGGCATAGAGGAGAAACAATAGTGTTCATTATATGGGAAATAATGTGTTTTTTGAACCTTAAACCGCATAAACACATTTCATTACACCAAATACACAAAATAATGTTCTTTTTAGCAACGTCATATGACCCCTTTAATAAGCTAGTGGGAATAGGATCAAGCAAGGAAGTGGTAGATTTCATGCTAGATACCTCCCGTTTAAGAGTCTCAGTATCAAGTTGAGGAAAGTTAATAAGAAAAAAAAAAACTGTGAACTCAGGTGTACAGTGACATGAGGTAGTAGAAAAAGGTGAAACGGAAATTTGTTTACGAACATTATCAACTTTTGAATTGAAAAAATGAAGAAATGAATTACATGACTGCTGAGAAACAGGCATGGTAGAGACAGCATTAACTTTAAGCAGTCTATTTATAGTTTGAAACAAGTGTCTCGGGTTTCCTTGGTTGCTTTCAACAGTCTGAGAAAAATAAGAAGATCTTGCAGCACAATTAGTGCTCCGTAATCACCCAGAAGATCCTTCCGAGCTATAGGCTAATTTTCAAACCTTTCATTTGTGACATTAATGCAGGGGTGCACATACGTTTTTCAGCCTTGTTCTCATAAGAGAACCTGGAGAGTTGGTTTGGTCCTCACACTGCACATAGTGTAACCCATTAAATACAACTATAAAAAAATAAAAAAATTATCGTATTGATAATATTGTTGTACTTTATTATTTTTTTTAAATAAAACATTAAACTAAATAATAAAGTGTCATACTATTATATTTTAAAATAAAAAGGGAGCTCCGGGTTTAGCGCTGCCAACTGACGCGCATCAGTGAATTAAATGTCACAGTTTTGCATTGTGCTTCAGTAGCGGCTCCTGGCCGTAAATTTAGGTGGGGCAGCTTCTGGGTCGTAGCGCTAATATATGAAAAACATTTTGTAAGCTTTATATTCTAATCTCTGAACACCTGGGGACAAAATTTTGGCAGCGATGTCCTTGCGTTATCCTGTGGGTGGCGCGCTAATGTTGATTGACAGGCTCAAAGTAATGTTACACACATAAAATGCTGTATAATAATTGCCTTAATATAGTATTTATCACCTCCAAATGTTGATTTAGAATGTTACAAGTTGTGGAGCAATTCGGGTGATCATATGTCTATTCTCAGAATAAACAAAACAAACACAACATAACCATATAAAGGCAATTAATGTGAGCACATTTAAACTAAAGGATTTAACGTATAGCCTACTTTGTTAATTTGATCCACTACTCCACATAGAAAAAAAAAAAACACATGCCAACTAGGCAATTAGAGCGCGCTGCAGTTCCCCTTTTCACCACAGATTTACGTTGCAAAATTGTGGGGCGCTGTTGAGCTCGGGAGGGCTCGCTTAGTAACATGTATACATGCCTGCTAAAGCCATGCACGGGATTTTAATATATACTGCTTACTTTACGACTTAAAATAGTGAATCTAAAATGGTAATTGTGCATTAACAGCTGTCAACCATGTCGGTACGCAAATGCGCTGTCAAAACTTATTTACACAGCGCATTTGTTTTTTTGGTCGCGCATGCGCACCTGTGTACCACTTATGTGCACCTCTGCATTAATGTGACAGTGGAACATTAAACATTTATATGATTAATTCGTGATTAAATGTTATAATGCTTTATTAGCCTGTAAAATTACCACTGATTTATTTAATTATTTTTATCTTTATTTACAAGTAAACAAGAATTTCAGCACAGTTTTTCAGTAATGATGTAAGCCGTCCCTTTGTGCCACCTGGTGGTGATTTCGTGAACAAGTTTCATGTGTGACTGGGTTTTATTTAAAGCTGTGGCCTGGTGGCGGTAATAAGCATTTTGGTTGACTACCTACTGCACCGTGGCACAATTATTAAAATAATTAGAGCTAAATAACATTTTTAAAGCTTTTTATTTATTTATTATTATTATAATTTTTTTTTTACAGGTTTAAATTTTCCCAGCAGTCCTTTTGCAAAGTGTAATAATCCAAACAGAAGTCATTTATACTATTCATTGATACTAGTCTCCATTCATTGAAACTTGACATACTGTGTATTTGAGCAATAATGGACAGGAGGTCATACTATATACTATGGCACCATAATTGTGGTCAAGGTTTGCTTTAGTTGGGCTCTTGACCCTTTTATTAATTCAAAGTAATTTGCTTCTAAGCAATTGCAATGTTGTTTCACAACAAACATTTGTGCGTTTGCTGAGTCAAATCTTGAAATAACAGATGAGCTTAGACTTTCTGCCTATAACTCATGATGAATGAACATCATAAAGTGGTCTCTCTTTGGTTTATTGACTGACGTTCAGATATTACTGAACTGTGAAAAAAGAAAGAAGTCCTACTAAACAAATGCCACCGTAATGCTTTGATATTGAAAAAACATAAAACTGTATCATCTCAGGCTTTTAGACATGAACACTTATCATATGATCCTCAACAGTGCTGACAATAATTATTCATACTGCAGTGCATGATGGGAGTTTTTACTATGGTGTTACCCAGCATGCATTGCAGCATGAAGCATTTTGTTGATTGTCACCATTGTTGAGATTCATATGCTGGTTCTTGATGTCTGTGTGTGTGTACATAATATTGGGGATCAAATTTTTATATGCATGACAAAGATTTAAAATTCATTCATAGTAACTATTAGAACAGCACTTTGTTTTACATGCTGTAGTTTCACAGGGTTGATTATGCAAAACCTAAACATATAACATTTTTTGATTGTAATCAGGTCAGCTCATGATGACTATCTCATCATATAAAAACAGTTAATAGCTGCTCACTGCATAGCACTGATCTCTCTGTGTCACAACACCTCACATATTGTTATAAATAAAGATCTAACACAAGCGTCAAGGGTCAAGAGCCCAACTAAAGCAAACACTGATCTCCATGATGGTGCCATCATTTTAACCAATAAAACATCAGCATCTGATCCTCTGTCATTCTCAATAACAGCAGGTGTTCATCACTAATGCTCAACCATCATTTAAATAGTCACTTAATTATCTCATTAACTTTAACTCTTTGAGGACTTGGGATTTGACTTGAAGACTTGCTTGTGACTTGAAAGTCCCACCTCTGCTATATTGTAACCATTTTCACAGCTAAAGTGTGCCGATAGGCATGATGCACAGTTTGATCAACATTTTTAACCGTAAGATTAGCAATCTAGTGTAAATACAAATATCACTCTTACTGCCCCACATACTTGAGTATCTGCAGTTTATAGTTGGGATCCTCCAGTTTGTGTTTGAGCAGCTGGACTCCTGATGGTCCTGGGTGATTGTAGCTCAGATCCAGCTCTCTCAGGTGTGAGGGGTTTAAACTCAGAGCTGAAGCCAAATAACCACAGCCTTCCTCTGTCACCATACAGCCTGATAACCTAAAAAAAAACACAGATCATCTAGAGACACACATCAACATTATGACCGGCTGACTATATGATCTCTTATATGTTCTTAAATACCTCAGTATCTCCAACTGACAGTTTGGACTCTTCAGTCCATCAGAGAGCAGCTTCACTCCTGAATCCTGCAGGTCATTGTTACTCAGATCCAGCTCCCTCAGGGCAGAGTTTGAGGATTGTAGAGCTGATGACACACTTTCACAGTCCTGGCCAGTTAGATTACAGCCAGAAAGACTGAAAAATATAATTTTTTTTCTGTGAGTGTAATATGTTTAAAAGTGAAAATGCATCTTATAGACCCTTTTCACAGACTGTGAGGATGCATTTCAATGGTCATCAGCATAAGTCCTGCAACATTTTTTTATTTTATTTTTTCTTTTTTAATGATGTACAGTATATTTATTACACTATACTTTGTATTATATTACCTTTGCATCAAAAAATACATTTAATGCTGCTCTGATGCTTCTAAGGGCCTGTTTACACCTGGTCATTTCATGCGTTTTCGCTGATCGGATATCTATCTGATTTTTTAAAACGTTTCCATTTACACTTGGCCACATAAATGTGTCATCGCAAAATGGATATAAATCCATTATGATGCAAGGGGCTGATCCTTTTTCCCACTCAGTGATTCTGTTTTTTTATTATTATTTTTTTCTTATATGTTGGTGTTATATCTTTCACTTTAATGTTATAAGTTGCACTGAGTAAATAAAGCTGGATAAAACAAAAACTGTGTCCGTCTTCATTTCAGGCTGCAAAGCAACAAAATGTGA